CCCTAACCCGCGCCCATCTCTAACCCATAGCGGTTATGCTTCGCGCCCATCTCTAACCCATAGCGGTTATGCTTCGCGCCCATTTCTAACCCATAGCGGTTATGCTTCGCATCCATTTCTATCCCACAGCGGTTATGCTTCGCATCCATTTCTATCCCACAGCGGTTATGCTTTGCATCCATTTCTAACCCACAGTGGTTATGCTTTGCACCCATTTCTAAAATATCTCTAGTATCATATTAGTGGCTTGAATAATAAAGATAGAGAGATGGATATTTACTTACTAGTTTGTAGGCAATAGCCTACCACCATCCCCCACTAACTAGCTAACCATCGTCCATACTAATATCTAGATATATATATCTATTAGCAGGAAGTAGGGAATCCATACCTAAAACCTTAGTACTAAGGCATCTGGTCAGCTATATCACCTAGTGAATATTAGTAAGTAAGATAGAATATGAGTTTAGATATATACTTACTAGTTCTAGGGCTAGTAGCCCTAAAACCTAGACCTCTTGACCTGACCTAGAATGTCACTACTACACCATGCCTTAGGCTTACTATCCTATAATACTATTAGTATATCAATCAGATCAATGAAATAGGGATAAATAGATATAATACTAACCTGAGGAGTGATGCCTATTAAGATGCCTTAATACTAAGGTATCTAACTATAATAGATAGTTAGTGAATTAATTAAAACTTAAGGATAAAGGAAGATTTAGTAGAATACTCACCTAGATCTAGTAGACTAGATCTACTAGCCTAGTAGAAAGGTAAATAATATAGGAAAAGGATAAAGATCTTGGGCAAGTATAATATATAATTAATAAGGGTAAATAGATAAAGTAGAAGAAGAAGAATATATATATATATATATATTAGAAGAGAGAGGAAGATAAGATGGAAAGTAAATAATTTCCTAGGTCTAGGGAAGGAAATTAATAAGGTATTAATATTATTAGATTCAGGCATCTATTTAGTACTGCCTTAGGCCCTTAGGTAGTCTAAATCTATCTAGCTGCCTGATCTAGGCTTGTGAATGATTGATTTCAAATCATTAGGCAGCCATATTGATACCTTATCATGCATTCCTGCCTTACCCCTCATTTCATCCCGTCATCATGCAGCATCATCATGCAGCCACATTCACATCACACCATTATGACTCACTATCAACTAATCAGATCACTAGATCTAGGCTAGTGAATGGTTGATTTCAAATCATTAGGCAGCCATATTAATACCATACTATTAATTTCTGCCTTACCCCTCATTTTCATCTCATCATCATGCAGCCACATTCACATCACACCATTATAACTCACTATTGACCAATCTGATCACTAGATCTAGGTTGGTAAATAATTAATTTCAAATCATTAGGTAGCCATATTGATACCTTATCATGCATTCCTGCCTTACCCCTCATTTCATCCCATCATCATGCAGCATCATCATGCAGCCACATTCACATCACACCATTATGACTCACTATCAACTAATTAGATCACTAGATCTACGTCGGTGAATGGTTGATTTCAAATCATTAGGCAGCCATATTGATACCTTATCATGCATTCCTGCCTTACCCCTCATTTCATCCCATCATCATGCAGCCACATTCACATCACACTATTATGACTCACCATCAACTAATCTGATCACTAGATCTAGGCTAGTGAATAGTTGATTTCAAATCATTCACACTACCCCTCACTACCAAGGAATGTGGCTGCCTAATCTATATCTCTAGCTAATCAGATCACTAGATATCTTACCTATTAATTAGAAATCTGGGTTCTAGATGGTTCTACTAGGCAGCAACATTCCATATGACATCATCTACCTATCTATTATGGCATGTGAATCATCTATTCTAAATTCTAGACCATTCTATTACATATTACTGCTGCCTGCCTAGATGACCTACCTAAGATATATATATCTCTACTATTCCCTCTCTTCCCTCTCATCTCTACTACCCAGCAACCATTCTTCTCTATTAGATCATCTCATCTATTTATTACTGCCTTACTGCCTGAAACTTTTATTATTTTTCATTATATCTCATCTTTATATTAAAAAATCATTATTTTCTCTTATATTTCATCTTTCTGCCTGAAAATTTCATATTTTTGACTATCTACTATTCACTATGGCTGCTATTCTGCCCCCTTTCTTTACCTATTATGGTGAATATTTCTTACTTACTTGTTCTACCTGCAAAACTGCTATTCACCCTACTAAAATTTCTGATCACCTGACTACTGAGCACCCTGGGAGCCATGTGACCCAGCAAGCCCTAGATTCCATTCAGGTTGCACCCCTGGCTACTAGCCATAATCAGATTATGACTGAGCAGCCTATTGACCCTATTCCAACCCTGGCTAGCCCTAGGGAGGGATTCCAATGCAAACTATGCAAACTTGTTCGGCTTAGTCAGCAAAATATTCGCCGTCATATTCAGCAAACACATGCTATTACTGGGTATGCAGCCCAGGATAGTGAGTCAGAATCATGCCTCATCCAGGCCCTAGAAGGAAATCGCTATCTCTTTAGGGTCAACCCTCCTACCACTATGCCTAATCAGGCATCTACTAGCGCGCTAGTGAACCGCAAACGAACTAGGGAACCCTCCCTGATTGGCTCAGCCCCTGGACCATCCAACCAGCGATCTAGGGTACATTCACCAAACCCTGCCCAGCCTGAGGCATCAACCATTCACCAATCATACCTAGCCTCATTCCAGGCTCACCGCCAGAATCTAAAGGCATCTAGGGTTATCCAGGTGCTAGATGCTACCCATGAGGCTAGTAGCTTCTTTAGTGAAAGTGGCTACCCCACCTTCCTAAATGGGAAAGATGCAGCTGAATTAGAGAGATTATTCACTCTAGATGATCCAGACCAGGCAGCCTATCTATTTGTCATTATTCACCGCCTGCTATCTCTGGGTCAGAATCAGATGAAATACACTACTACCCAATCACTAGCAGCAATCAACTCATTCAGTCAAGATCCAGCCAACCAGGCATCTCTCCGCCCTCTTAGGGCTCTGCAGAATGCTACTAGCATGAGGGGTTATGCCCTAATCTTTCAGGCTTATCTAGCCTTTCTCCTCAATTCATTCAGGCACCTATCTGGGGGTGGCCCTAGCAGCTATCTAGGGCTCTATACCCTTACTGATCAGGAGAGGGTTGATCTAGAAGCCCTAGAAGCCTTACTTCTTAGGGTTTCTGCCCCTAATATATCTGAATCAGCTGATTCGGATTCTGATTCATCTGATCTATCTCATGCTAGCCCTTCTCAGCAGATGCCTGAGGCTGATCCAGATGATGATCTAGACTATGATCTAGATTCTGATGAAGAAGATGAGGCCCTGCCTCAGGCCCCCCCTCAGCTGCCTAGTGAATCACTAGATGAGCAGCTAGTCCGAAAAGGGGTTAGGCTAGTCATGGATCTCACCCTCCAATTAGCTAGGCAGAAGGTCATTCACCAGAGAGAGGTCCCACTTTATGCCTTTCTAGCCTGCTTTAGCCGAAACTATTCACATGACTGTTTCAAAAGCCTATCTTTGATTGGTCATTCATATTCAGCTATCATTAAATCACATCAATTCATTCTCCTTCATTGGCTGCACACTGAGCCTTTTGCTATTCCAGAGACACAGCCAGAATCTATGGCTATTTTTATCCGCAATTGGATGAATGAGCATTTTACTGGCCAATCAGAATCACCTCTAGGTCATGTGCTAGTTCTTCGCATGCTAGCATTGTACCTAATTCAGACTAGTGCTTCACTAGGCAAAATTCACCCTGTGGCACCCCACACATTGAAATATAGACAGGTGACTATCTCCCAGGGTCACCTGAGGCACTTCCTAGCCCAGAGGGTGCAGCAGCTTGCCCTAGCCCTATCAAATAATCTATTTTTGGATTTCAGCTATTTCCGCGAGATCCAGTACACATTAGACCTTGATAGGGCTTCCCAGTTTGAAGATATTAGTCAGCAGGCTAATAGCTGGTCATTTCTGCAGACCTACCTGGATCAGGGGTCACAAGACTATCTGCTTTGGAAGGTTCTCCCTGATTCTGATTGGTTCATTCAGGTGGAAGGCCCTAGTGGACACACCCTTCAGCTAGTTAGGGCTAGGGCTAAGGCATTTCTAGATGCTTCTAGTGCCTGGCTGAAACAGCTACTAGCTCTCTGCCATATGACTAGTGGCGCCCCTGCTAGGGGTACAGAGATCAACCAGGTGATCTGGCAGAATACCCCTATCAACCCTCGCAACCTTTTTCTGGATCCAGTGAGCAAGCTATTCCTAATTAGGCTAGCTTATTCCAAAACATTCAGTCACACTGGCCAGGAGAAAGAGGCAGTTAGGGCTTTGCCCCAGTCCCTTTCCTATTTGGTGCTAGCCTATATTGCTTATATCCGACCTTTTGAAGAGGCTCTGCTTATTAAGCTGAGTCAGAAGCTGCCTGAGGCTCATTTTCTTTTATTTTATGATCACAGGACCTGCAAACCCCTATCTTCTAAGGTTCTATCTAGAACTCTGAAGAATATGACATCAGAGACCCTCTCTCAGCCAATCAGCTTATCTCCCTGGCGTCATCTCATGCAGGGGTTCATTCGCCATGGTCTAGGCCTGCATGACCCACTTGCTGAATTAGGCAATGATGAGCTAGATGATGAGGCCCTAGGGGCTGACCAGATGCATCATTCTAGGGATACTGCCTTGCGAATCTATGGCAGAGTAATGGCTAGCTTCCAGGGGGTTAGGGCAGACATCCAAACAGCCCTAGTCAACTTTAGTCAGCGATGGCATGCCTATTTAGGTCTAGCTCCTGACCAGTTGATTATTCACTCCCTATTCTATAATAGGGCGGTCTGGCAGCCGCAGGCAGATGATTCAGCTGATTCCCCTCAGCCCCAGCCAACTAGGGGTATGGTATTCCCTCTGGATCAGCCAATCATTCAATTCTATTACCCTAGTCAGCCTAAGGCATCACCTCCAGCTCGCCAGGTTTCTATTGGCCAGTTCAATGAATTTATTGGCCTCTATGGATTGCCTCAGGCTAGTGATCAAACCCTCAGGCAGCTACATCAGGGTGAGACAGCTAATCAGCTAGATGTAACCCTAGATCTAGATCAGGGTCAGCTAGCTAGGCAGCTAGATCAATCTAGATCAAATCTAGCACCTCAGCAGCAGCTAGATGAGGGTTTGCTAGATCATATGCTCAAAGAGTTCATGCAAGATGATCAGGTGACCTTTAGAAGCCCTGAACAGCGCCAGGCATTTCATCTTATGATGAAACAGGTGCCCTACCTCTTCTTAGTGCTCCCTACCGCAGCTGGCAAAACAACGCTATTCCTTTTTGGGGCTAGTCTAGCTACTAGTCAGGTGACTATGGTGATAGTGCCATTAATCTCTCTGAAGCTAGACCTATCTAGGAAAGCTACTGCCTTAGGCCTCCAGCCTACTACCTGGGACCCTAGTCTAGACTGGTTAAACCCAACCCGGAAACCCCAACCCAACCCGGCCTAAACCCGCCTTGGGCCGGGTCCGGGTTTAGAATTTCTAACCCACAGGCCGGTTGGGTTCTGAGAATGAGAACCCATTTGGGTTTTAGGTTGAAAAATGGGCTGGGTTGGGTCGGGTTGGGTTCTTATTATAGGCTCTCTAGAACCCGTGTTATTGTAATACAGTTTTAATTATATAGGTATGTATGGTAAGTGCTCTGCAAGTTAGCATAGATGAAATCTAACTAAGGTTAGATTCAGTATTATAAGAGTATTAATAAGTAAATTAATATTGTATTAATAAGGAAAAATATTGTATTAATAATTTAATATCCTAATTTAATGTCTTCCATTAAGCATTGCCTGATATTTGCTATGTTCATGCTGGCGACAAATTAGTCACCGCGGAACCTGGGGCTGACATGATGTTGTTTAAAGTAGAGTTGGTGATGGAGGAAGATTATCTTCTTATACATCATCCAGTAGATCTACCTAACCTTCCTCAATATCATCAATATCTTCCTCTTCACTAATATAGTCAGGCACATCTACTAGATTAGCATCATCTTCTTCATCTCTAATAGTACCTCCATCTTCATCATCCTCCTGAATGCCTGTAAATTCTTGTCAAAGTTTAAAATTTTCAGCACACATCTGGATTATTATTGCTTGGATTGTGCCTGGGAGAAGATAACTTCAATGGTAGTGACAGACATCTCAAGATGTATTAAAAAGACGCTCAACCCCCACACCACTAATAGGCACAGCTAAGAAGTCTCATGCCATTCTTGTAAGAATAGGAAAATAATTCTTATACTATTTCCAATACTCAAGCACATTTGTACCAGAGGGCATGAGACCTATGATTAGTTAGTAAATCTAACTTAAGTTAGAATTATATGATGTACCTTCTTGTAAATAATCCTCAATCTTACTTAAGGCATTGTCAGTTTGGGTTAGAACATGTGTTTTACCCTTCTGTGTAATAGCAATGACTCGATCCAGTTTAGAAAGACAGTTAGAGGTATGATTTGTCTTTACTTTCTCTGGAAAGACTGCAGCATAGTAAGCATAAATATCCTCAAGGGCACTGGCATACCTATCATGCTAGTTAACATCATCATCACTCCATGTATCTTCCTGAAAGACTTTCAGTTTAAACTGAGGAGCTAGAATAGTTGCAATAGCATAGACATATCCTTATGCATAGTATGTCTTGCTATAATACTGACGCAGCTTATTAATAGCCTTAGATAAGGCATGCCGTAGTTCCCTCTTCTAAGTTGTGTGCTTTGATTCCAGTCGTCGTTGAGCATCCTCTAAATGCTGAAATAAGGAGTTATAGATGTTAAAGGCCTTATGGACTGTAGGTCCATTAAACTCTGATAAGGCAAGAGTAAAAGTAAAGAAAGGGTGAGTCAGCTGAAGTAGGTATTTAATCCGCCGCCACTCTGCATGAGAAGGAAGAAGATATGTAATGTCTTCCTTCTCCCACTTTTCTGAAAACTTAGCTAGAGCAGAGTGAAGCTTAATAGCTCACTGTAACATCAGATATGTTGAGTTCCATTGAGTTTTGCAGTCCTGTTGAAGTCCAAGTGATCTAGGATTGGAAGGTAGGCAGCGAAAGGTTTCATGTTGGGTAGGGCTTGCATTAATAAACCAAGCAAATTTTCGAATCTAGTAAGAGATACTATTAGCAAAGAATCTAACTTAAGTTAGATTTATATACCTTCTTAAGTGTACCTGCAAATCCCTCTGAATAGATATATCAGTCACTTGCATCCCAGACCATCTTAATCTCATCATTTGTAGCTTCAACCTTAAGGAAAGTAAAGAGTTCCTTCACAGTAAGTTGCAGGACATGGGCAAGACAGGGAATATGAACCTGTGAGTTGACAACATCAGCAATAGCTGAATCCTGGAGTATCTCCACAATCCAAGGAGATTGAAGATCCTTTTAAAGCTTATAAGTAATAGCATCTATCATTGTTGAATTATTTGCAGCATTATCTGTTGTAACTGCTATAACACAATGCTGAAGCTGGACTGATTCAAGCACTAATACTACCTTCTGTGCAAGGTTATCACCTGTATGATGAATATTCATTGGCTCAAACCCTAGAAGTACCTCATGATACTTCTAATCTGAGCTAAGAAAGTACCCAGTGATTGCAAGGAAGGAGTTTTGTGATGAACTAGTCCATGCATTAACTGTAAGAGAGATCTTGGACTAGGGAGGGATTAAGGACAAGGTCTTAGCTTGAGTTTTAGATGACTGCTTAAGTAAACAGCTCTTAATTAAATGCTGATTTAGTAAATCAAGAGTACATGCCCCAGCAGCTATTATGAGTAATCTGTGAAATTAAGGGTGTTTAACTGTTTGAAATGGGAGGCAAGCCGCAAGAATAAACTGAAGGATTTAATCCTTAAAGTTCTTAGGCGTATAAGACATTGCAGGCTAGTTAGTTAGTAATAGGAATCTAACTTAAGTTAGATATAATACTTACTTGGTTTTTCAGGAGACTGCTGAGCTTCTGTTAGGAAGAAGGTGTTTTCTTAATCACTAGGCAGTAGGCTTTGATATACCACATTATTATCATAACACCATTACCATAACAAGGGTGGAGGAGAAGACAACCACAATGTTTACATCAGACCTTAGGTTTCCCATCAGGAAAGGATGCACCTTCATCAAAGTCTGTCCATGCTAGAGATGTCCAAGCTCTCCCCCAGCTCACCTTTTGCCTCTGAGATTGCATACCCTTAGCCCCTGTTATTTCCTGCTACTATAGCTGGAATGCAGGTTCACAGTCCTTGCTAAATAATATAATCTTGTTCTTTCCATTTTGATTGCGGATTTGGAGGTCAGGGTGAGGGGCTGTCTGTATAATACTTATTTATGGAGTCTGTATAATACTTGTTCGTGGGGTATCATCTGACTGTAATAAAGAAAAGGCAGATATAGATGGACCTGGAGTGCATTGAGGTGTATAACTACTAATAGTAGATAATAGGCCAGTAGTGGATGGAGGAGAATTAACTAACATTAAATCTGTAGAGAATAAAGACTGAGACATCTTATTAAAATAGATTTAAGATACCTCTACTCACTGCTCCTAAGTCGAATAGTTACCAAGCTTAAATAACCTTTTTCATTATAAAAGTAAATATAATACTCTTTAGGTCTGCTTTATTATCATAGAAAGAAAGTAATTTAGTCACTATGGAAATTATGATCTAACTTAAGTTAGATTATATTACATTCTAAATTCCAGCTCTCCATTATTGCGCTAACTAGTAATATTTTTCTAGGCAAACCTTATTGCACCACTAAGTCAAACTCCTTGCGCTAGTAGATATGAGGAATCTAACTAGAGTTAGATTCTATTTACATTCCAAATTCCAGCTCTCCATAAATGCGCCAGCTAATAACAGAATTCTAGGCTCTTATGGTTGTGCTAACTAGTAACATCTTTCTAGGCAAACCTTATTACACCACTAAGTCAACCTCCTTGCGCCAGCAGGTATAAGGAATCTAACTAGAGTTAGATTTTTGTCTCTTCTTGCCACTACTACCACCACCACTATTGTCATTCCTTGGTCTCTTGCGCGTAGTGTCTATATTATGATCACTATCCTCACTATCCTCACTCTCCTGACTCTCCTTATCTGTATCTTCTCTGGACATAGTCGCAGCTACAGGAGTCACTGCAGGAGATGGTGTAGGAGTTACTCTTAGAGTTGGTGTAGTAGATGTCTGGGCTGCAGCACCCTGGGGAGCACTAGTAATCTTCAGTGACTATTTCTAAAAGTTCTGTAAAAGCTTCTGATTCCCCTTGTTGGGCATAAGGGTATTAGCGCTTTTTGGAAGAGCCTTGATGAATCTAGGGCGGCGCTCAATCTCCCTATTCTGGTGGTTTTTGATATTCATTTGGAAGACTGATAAATCCTCATTTTGATCATTAAGGTTTGGGGTCCAGCCATAAGCATCTATTATCAGGGCATATTCATGTAAATGGTCCATGCACATTCTCTATTCATTCTGTAGATAGTTAGAATCTAATCTAACTTAAGTTAGAAATTACATACCTCATTAAGAATCAATGATTCACCACTTTTGGAATGAGTGGCTTGTGAAGGGAACCCTTTATCAAGTGTATCTAATATAATTCTCTTCAGGTTATGGTATGTAAAAATGGCTCTAAGCACATTTACCTCTGCGCCAAAACTCTGCTTCAATGACTTATTGTTTAAAACGCATACCTGGCAGATCATTGGGTTTTGGTTCTAATTGACTTGGGCAGATAGATGTCCCCATGCAGTCTAGTTCACCAGGTCATTTTCCTAAAGCTATTAGTTAGCAGGTAGGTAAGTCTAGCCAAAGTTGTATTACATACCAGCCTTGTGAGGTCATTATAAATAGCCATCTTCCCAGCTAGAGCTGGGCCGGCATACTTAACAGCAATCTTGACTATTTTTACCTAGTGTTTGTACTTAAACTGAGCTGAGTATAAGATCCAATCTGGCGATGCCTCCGTATTCATTTTCTTGTTTGGCAGGGTATTTAGCTATAATTAGTTAGTTTAAATCTAACTTAAGTTAGATTCCTTACTTACAGCTTTTACTAGCTCACTATCTTTCCACAGCGGCTCATCTCGGACTTAGTCCCAAATTTCATGAACTAAGGAGTTAGTAATCTTGAATATATCTGTGCTGCTGTTAAAGCCACGGACCCCTCCTAGAGCAAGAGTAGATTTCTCTAAGATCACTTCTTGGACCTCCTTAGTCTAGTTAAAGTGTTGCAGGGCCTTCTTAGCCGCCTTAGGATACTTCCACTTAGGGTTAAACCAGTATGTCATGTGCTTAAGAACTTTTGTGGTTGGCTCTGAAATATTACTGGTAATTGTGCTCCATGACTGCCATGATGGGCACTTCAGATCTGGGTGGTTCCACAGATTCTTAAAGAGCTGGCAGAATTCCACATCTGAGAGCTCTTTAAAAAAGTTAGGTCTCTGGGTCTTGTAT